AAAAAAAAAAAAAAAAAAAAAAAAAAAAAAAAAAAAAAAAAAAAAAAAAAAAAAAAAAATATATATATATATATATATATGTATATAAAGAAAATAGGGATTGTAAACAGCTACTTTACAGAGGAGGGTTCACTACCATAAAACAGTACCAGATGGTAGATGCTGTTCATTCAGTAGATACTGATGAAGTTTCACATATTTGGGAATAACACTACCCGCCAGAATAAGCTAGGTTATGCTGATTTAACAAATCCCACTGGCTTAACATAATACAAGTTTAATATTTGCTGGTGCTACTTTTCCAATGCAGATTGGCTGGGACTGTTCTGCCATCTTGGGACTGTCATGGGGCTGTCATGCCATCATGGGACTGTCATGCTAGACTCAGGCTGGCTTGTGGAGGCTTCAACTTTGTACCACCATGATTGTCAAGGCAGCAAAAAGAAGACATGTGAACTTGCTCATGACTCCTAAAGGTTCCACATGAAAGCAGCACAATCACTTTTGCTTTCATTCCATTGGCCTAAGCAAGTCCTGTGGTCACATCTAATTTCAAGAGGATGGGGTAGTGGATGTCTACTACATCCCAAGGGAGGGGGAAAAGTAGAAAATATTTTAAAATACTACTGTAGACACAATGTGTTTACTTCTATGATAGATCTGCTAATCCATATCTTAAGAAGAGGAAACCTAAGCTCTGAGAGGTTAGGTCATTTGACCAAGGTCACACAGCCCATCCTCTAGGAAGCCAGGATTCAACCTGCATGTCATTCATCCTGACTGTGGAACAACGTCCTTACTATAGGCACAACGTCCACAAGCTTTGTATAGAAGCAGAACAGTTTCAGGATAGGTGCAGGGAGGCCCTGCGAATGTGGTGGATAGAACAGTAGTTGAATAGACACGGCCTTTGTGTTTGTGTTCTGTGACTGCTCCTGGGGAAGGGAGGAGAGGCAGGGGAGTTTGTATCAAACATCACTTGAAGAAAAGTTTGGACAGGTAAGACTATCATGCGTCAGAGTAGGGCAGAGGCACGTGTATGGGGATATGATCAGGGCAGTGTTTCAGGCCATTACTCTGGTAGCAGTTGGGAGGCTCTGGGGAGGGCCAGCTCTTGCAGGAGTCCTGGTAAGGTGATGAGGAGTAGACGGGAATGAAGGCGGCGGGAATGGAGAGGAAGGGTTGGACCTGAGAGCTGCAGAGGAGGCTCCAGCGAGGTCCACTGGTGGAAAGAATCGCCATGCAATTTGCAGAACATGCCAGACATTCTTCACCCTTCACTCTTCCCACCCTAGTCGGGTATATTGCACCATGTGTTTTTTTTTAAAAAAATTCCCTAAGACCTCTTTTTCTCTAGCTTCTTCCTTATTTTTCGTGGTCTCTTCTTAGAACGGGGGCAGCCATGCTGCGGTGGGAGGCCATTCCTGCCTGACCCTTACCGTGTGGGGTACCGTTCCTGTCACCATTGCCAGGATCTGGCCCTTCCAGTGAAAGGAAATCTCCCAAGGTCTAAGGAGGGCAAGAGGCCTGCGAGTCGCCTGCTACTCAGCAAAGGGGTTGCTCAGCAGGCCCGGGGCCCTGGTCCACCCCAGGTGCCTGGTTTGCCCACCTCCGATGGCGCCCTTCGCTGGCAGGGTGGGCGCCTCTGGCGAACCAGCTCCGTCCCGCTGCCTTTAGAGCCCCACCTCTTCCAGGTCCCGGGCCTTCCACCCCTTGCAGGCGGCTGTCCCCGCTGGGGTCCAGATGGTGTCGGAGGGCCGGCGGTTCGGCTGCGGGCTCGGGGTTCAGCCTTCCGGCCTCCCTCCGTTCCTGACTCTCCTTTTCTTCGGAGAAGGCGCAGAGGCCAGGACCAAAGCGCCACTCCTGGGGTTCTCCGCGACTCGGAGTTGCCCCAGGAGGGCGCAGCTCTGCCCCGCGGGGTGCAGGCCTCGATAGGCAGGGGCCTGAGTCACCGCCTGTAACACAACACCAGGTCTCCCCGCCCCCGCCTCCCCCCAGCTCCGGCCGCCAGCCTGCGGCGACACCTACAAGAAAATGAAGGGGCGCTCGGGCCCGAGGCGCCCCCGGCGGGATCGCGAACAGGTCCCGGCGGTCCCCAGCTCGCGGCGATCTCGCTTCCCCGGGCCCGAAGCTCCGCGAGCCGCAAACGCTGCCCCGGCGCGAGCAGGAATCCAGGTCGAGCGGCCGGAGCTGGAGCCCGAGGAGGCACAGGGCCCGCGGTAGCTGCGGCTGGCGAGCCCGAGAGCGCCCAGGGAGGGGCGCCCGGCTTGGAATTTCCCGGTCCCCTCGGGCCCAGCGAGGACAAAGCCCCGTGGCCTAGGCCGCGCCGCACAAAGAGCGAGTCGCGACACGCTCCCATCCCCCTCCCAGCTAGCCAAGGCTCCAGCCCCGGCCCCGGGAGGCGGCAGGGAGGTGGGGGAAGCCCTGGCCGCCGCCCCTCTCTCCCCCTCCCCTGGGGCCTAGCGAGCGCCGCCCCCGCCCCCGCCCAGTCTGCGCGTCCTCTCGGGGAGGGGTTGGGGGGCGCGGCGCCCCACATAACACTCCCCCTCCTGAGCTGGGAGCCACCCTCTCCCCTCCCTCCTGCAAACACCGCCGCCTCCCCTGCCACCGCCGCCACCTCGCCCGACGCTCCGCAGCTCGTCGCAGCCGGGGGGCGGTGCGCGGACCGTGCGCGCCGCGGGCGCCAGATGTGCAGTCCCCGCCGCCGCCAGTGACCTAGCCGCAGCCCGAGCGGGATCGGGCCGCCTCCCTGATGCCGCGGGGGCGACCTTGAGCTTCCCTCGGTGGGGACCCCCGACACCCGAGCGCTGTGCCCAGTCGTGCACTCTGCAGCCCGGCTTTCCGCGCGCTTGGACATGGAAGGGGCCGCTGCGCCCGTGGCGGGGGACCGTCCCGATGCGGGGCCGGGGGCGCTGGGCTCTCCTCGGGAGGCGGTGGCGGGGGCGACTGCAGCCCCCGCGACGGCGGCAGCCCCGGAGCCCAGGAAGCCGCACGGGGTGAAGCGGCATCATCACAAGCACAACTTGAAGCACCGCTACGAGCTGCAGGAGACCCTGGGCAAAGGCACCTACGGCAAAGTCAAGAGGGCCACCGAGAGGTTTTCGGGCCGAGTGGTGAGTGGGGGAATCCTGGGGGCTGCGGGGGGCGCGGGCTGGACGCGGCCAGGGCGTGTGAGGTGGGGGTCTGTGAGCCCTGGGGCTCTCTTGACAGAGAAGGGGCTCCTTGGGAAGCCCCGAGGCAGACTCCTCACCCTTTCCCCAGCACCCCGTGACTCAGGCGTGTCTCTGTCCCGAAACACTTGTTACATCCTGTCTGGACGTATTTTCTTTTAATTTTTGGTTTGTTTTCTAAAAATTTATTCCCAGCAGCAAAGGAATGTTTTAGATTTGCAAACACTTTGCAGAGTTGGGACGGCCTGGGTCTCCCTCACGAGCACACCTTCAGACCATGCCCCGAAACGCCTTATTTCCGCAACTCTCCAAAGAACCGCATTCCCAGCTGTGAGCTAGCCCCTCAAATCCCGTGTAGTGTAGGTGTTCCTCCCCCTTCTACCCATCTGCCCGCAGCCCGGCTCTGCATCCTTCCACTCAGCCTCTGCATCGCTCTGATGCTGCTGTGGCTGCAAGAGAGGCAACTCTTGCCTGTTTTTAAGAGAGAAGGTTAGGGAGCAAAAATAAAGGCTACTGCCAGCCTGAGGATTCTAACAGTTTGGATACTGGCTTTGGGAGGACTGAAATGCCCAGGGCATGGGTAGCCATACAGATAGTTGTGCTTAGTTGCAGCAGGCTCTGCTGCTGTTTCAGCTCCTGGTTGCAGGGCTACCAAACTGCTTAAGGGGTCTGGCGTCGCTGCTGTTGTGACAGCTGACACCCTGCCAGGGTCCTGGCACCATGTGCACAGCTCCAAGGAGTGCTTTGAGTGCCTTGGGGTCTGTCTGCTTTGTCCCAGCCTTGGGTTGTTGTGATTTTCCCTTCTGCAGAACAGGCCCTTGAAATCCACACTGCTTGTGGCTAGAGAGTTGGGTTCAAAGTGACTGACTGTTGCAGAAAGATTTTGTGTGGTGTGTGGCAGAAAATTAACATGGTTCTTTGATTTGAAGCAGATCAGATGTATTCTAATGGATTTAGGGCCAAAGTCAGAAACTAATTATGGGACTCCTTGTGTGCACTTTTGGGGGTGTTTTGGAGGCTCAGGGTTGCTTATAAACAACAAATGACTGCAGGGAAAAAGGAAAATGAGCTGTCAAATAAAATAGCAGGTTAGAATTGACATGTTTCTTTTGCATTTGGGCAGGGACAGGTCTGTGAAAAAATGGGGGTACCAGTCAGCAAAGTTTAGTCCCCAAATTCTCAAATATTTGAATACCTGGATAAGAGCGCCCCTCCCCATTTCTCGGATTCTATGTTTGAGGCTATAAAACTTTATCCTATAACGTTATTTTTAAAAAGTGTGTTATCAATTAAGTGGAAATATGAGAGGTCATATATTTCTTTTTAAAGCTGGCTCTGTAATAAGTTCTACAGCAAGCAAGTAGCTGATAATTCACTCTGGGCAGGTGTAATTTTTGTAGGATGAAAATGTTGAAGGGGAGGGTTGTAGGGCTGGCCTCTGATGAAGGCACTTTCAGGTTTGTGGAAGAAGAGGCTGGGCAATGTGCACTTCATTCATGCTTTTCTTCTGAGGTGATATTCCCTAGGCTGGATGTTGAATAAGCAAAAACCAAGCTTAGCTCCCTGCTCATGTTGTCTTAATAGCTTCTTAAGAATCGCACTGGGAAAGTGGAAAGCAGAATAATGAAAAATAGACACGGTTCGAGCTGCAGGTTGAACATGTGAGACGATGAGGGATTGTTGAAGTGGTAAGTGTGTGTCTGGGGTCTGTGAAGGGACCCCAAAGTCTAAATGCTGGGATACCATTTCAGACCCTTCTAAAGAACCAACCCTTGTCTTATGGCAGACGGCTTTCTGAGCGTCAGTGGGACTTTCTGTCAGTAGTTCGTGAAGCTGCCTGATCCACAGACTAGTTTAGAGTGAAAGGGACTTGCATTAGTAGGCAGGAGTCCGCCTTCCTGTTTTGGGGGATGTCTTCCTCTGTATTTGTAGAAATTGAACATTCCGTAAGGATTTGGTCAAGCGGCCACGAGGGGGCGCCCTGAGAACGAGAGAGGCTTATTTCCCAGCCGCAAGCCTGAAGTCCCGCTGTGTTATTGTTCAGCCCTAGCTCAGTTTCCCATTGTGCTATTAATTTCAGCTAAATCTCTTGTTGTACCCCAAAATTCTGTAAAGATTTTAAATCTGGCAGCAGACCCACGCCAAGAAACTGGCAGTCTCCAAAATGTTTCATTTATTCACGGGGCTGCTTTCTTCTTGATAGCTAAGCTTAGCATGTTAGCCAGATCCCTGGGTGAAAACCTTGCATAAAACAGATGGGAAGACTGAGGTTTAGGGAAGGGAAGTCCTTCTTGCCACAATACCCCCTGACTCCCCCTGCTGAGCACATTGCTCACAGATAATGTAAGAACTTAAGTGAGAAACAGGAATTGTCAAGTGGAAAATTTCCTGTGCCTGGCTGAACAGAAAATAACACCAAACAAACGAAAAATTGGTCAACAAGTTGTTCTTGCCCGTACAGTGCCTGGTGACTCAGAAACTGTTAAGAGCAGCAAGAAATTTTCATCTAAAACATGAACTTGGAGTTTTCTTTTGGTAGCAATGAGGTGCTAAACATTCACAACTTGCTTTGAAGGTGCGGTTGAGGTTAGCCTTTTTGATCTTTGGGTAGAATTTTGAAGTGATGCTCTATTTTCATTTGCACCAGTGCTTTTTACAGCATCGCTCAAGAGCAGCAGTGGTTGTAACGTGTTTTATCAATGTGAGTGGCCCTAGACAGGTGCCGGGTATGGGGCTGTATGAAATGCTGTGAAATCGACATCCCTGTTGAGAGCAAGGGCCCTTCTCAGAGAGGAGTGAAGTTTCTAAAAAATGAGCATGTAGTGGTTTTTAATTGCATACCTGGAAGGACCTTCTGAATAAAACAAAGCGCAAGACAGCATCATTTTCTACTGCCACGAAAGGCAGTTCTGAAGAGACGTACAGAGTCAGACGCTTGGAGTCAGCAGGTCCAACCCTCTGCGTGGTCCAGGCATCCTCCTGCGGTCTTGCAGCCTCTGCTAAAGCATGTCCCTGAGACCAGGACTCAGAGTGGCTTGTTCCAGAGATGAACAAGCTCAAAAATGAGGCACTCTTGCAGAAAGGCTAAGAGCCCTGGCTTACATTCAAATCCTTGATCTACCCCTTCCTAGCTTTGTGTCTTTTGGCAAGCTATGCAACTTTTTGAAACCTCAGCTTCTTCATCGGTAAAATGAGCTACTAAGAGTACCAACTTCATGGACTTGTGAGAACTGAATAGAATGATCTATATAAACCCTCAAAAGGGGACATTAATCAATTTAGTGCCTCTGTTTAGCAGATTTTTTTTCTCAACTCATGTTAAGGTTTAATTAGATTTTAAGACCATCAGAGAGACATAATGCATTGTATCATGCAGAGAGAGATGGAAGAAATAATCAAGTTATCAGAGTAATAAAATAAATGCCAAATTAATTAGGGAGATGTGTCCACAGGAAGGTGAGATAATCAGCCAAATTCAGATAGGATCTGAATGCATTTCTAAAGTCTCGAACTTGGGCCTCGTTTATTGCACAACTTTTGTTTTGATACAGTTTTGGGCAGGCCTATCGGTTGAGCCTCTGTGTTATAATTCAGCCTGCATTTTCTTTGAGCTAAGCTCCCTGGACCTACAGACCACACAAAGCATCGTCAAAAAACCGAAAACCCAAACCACACACTTTTGGGGGAAGAGGTGTCCTGTGGTCACCTCCATGTCAAGGGCCAAGTTTGACTTTCTTCCTGCGCGAGGTTCTCTCTGGTGAGCAGTAGGTGGTGTGAGCTGGAGGCAGGGTCCCTGGGGGGCAGTTTGGGATGGCAGTGGCAGGACTGGTGGGCAGAGTGTGCCCCTCGCCCACAGTCTGCCACGGTGCCCTTGGCCACCAGAGCATTAGCTTGTGTGATGGGGCATCTTTATCTAACAAGCCAAGTGATTTGACCAAAAATGGGTGTTTTAAGCACCAGCCCAAAGCTATTCATAGCCTCCTGCTGGAAAGCTGCAAATCAGGGAGAAAAATTAGCAAGCAGGCCTGCCAAGCCAGGGGGCATGTTGACGTCACGTGCACGGTGGCTGAAGTGCCATGTTGCAGCTGAGGCCCAAATCCAGTTTGAGAGTATAAGGGACCATGGCAAACATGTGGTTCAAACTTCTCACCTTTGAGGTGGGACCAATAAGGCGCAGAAGTGTGAAGTGACTTTGTCGAGGTTGCACAGCTGTTGAATGACTGAGCTGGATCTTAGAAACGTGATTCTTGGTTTGGTGTTTTTCCATCACTCATTTAATAAATCTTTGCTAGAGAAAGACACGGGCCTCACTCGTAAAGAACTTATAATCTAGTAGCAAAGATGAAATGTACTTACAAACATTGAACTAATTCTGTTCAGTTCAATGAAGATTTATTACCATCTGCCATATGCTACTCACCATGTTAAATGGTGAGACAGAGAAATAAGTAAGATTTAGGGAGCTTCCAGCCCCATGAAAGAGAAAGCGGAAGTAGTGACTGGGCATGAGCAACCCTTCCATAGAGGATTCAGTTGTTTCCGGTGATTTTCAAGTTGGATGACAGCTCATTGAAGCTTAGCTCATCAAACTGAGTTTGACCCTGGACAGAATCATATTTCTACTGCTACCATTATTTGCTACCAGCTGATATTTTTGAGAACTTGTGATGCGTCCCACTGTGCTAACTGCTTTACAGACATTTTCCCTCGCTGAACTTTCACAACAAGCCTGTGAGGTGTAAAATAGTGAGACCCATTTTATAGATGGGGAAGATGACACATAGGGAGGTTAGGTAACTGACCAAGGTTCCAACAGCTGGATGGTGTCAAAGGAGTCTGTTTGGAAACCCATTGCTGCTAAAGGAATTGAGAACCTTCCTTTATGTTGCACAGCTGGTGACCTCTGGATTTGGGTGTGGTTCTTTGCTAACAGTGCCAAAAGA